GACTCCTTTATATCCAAACCAACACCATTATCAGGTACACTCTTCTGTCCCATTTATTTGTCTAAATAATAATAGTCTTTGATACCAACAGTTTCTTCTTCCACTTCATTTATCCCAGTTTCAAAATAGTGCTTAAGAAGTGATTATGAAGAACCACTAAACACACACATACACACACATAGTGATTACAAGTCAGGCTGCTAACTTCAAGGTCAGCAGTTCAAAACTACCAGCTGTTCCGCTGGAGAAAGATGAGGCTTTCTGCTCCCGTAAACATTTACAGCCTCGGAAACCCGGTCTATGCAGGGTCACTATGAGTCGGAACCAACTCCACAGTATTTAACGACAACAAATATATATATTTATGTACGTGTATATGTTGTTGTATACACACACACATATATGAAGTACTGGATCGCAAGGTCAGTTTGAATCACAAAGTCGGCGGTTCAAACCCTATACAGGGTCGCTATGTGTTGGAACCAACTTGATTACACTTAGCAACAATATATATATTTTACCCTGTGGCTCTGTAGGACAAACACAGGACTGCAAACCAACAGGTCACCACTCCTCCAGAGAAAGATGAGGCTTTCTGCTCTGTAAAGATTGACAGTCTTGGAAACCCTGTCCAGGGTCGCTATGAGTCCAAACTGACTTGACAGCACTGAACAAAAGCAACAAGCATCCTAAGTAATTTAGATATGATTCAAAGTGTAAGAATGGATGTGCGTAGGTTATTAGCAAATAGTATGTCATTTTATATCAGAGGGCTTCAAAAAGCTCATGCAAAAATTCCATCATCTTTTAATTCCATTTTTCCATGAAAAATTAGTTCTATAATGTTTCATTTTCCTACTTTCCTTTTCTGAATAGGAAAAAACCTTAACTCATACAACACTTTGGTTTGTTCAAATCATAAAATAAAAATCTGAGCTTGGATGTTGAGGTAGATCATTGTTCCAGCTAGGATTATGTCCCCTCCAAATGTGTGTTGTAAATCCTAACCTGGATGCTTGTGGCCCTAATCCTGTTTGAAAATGATTTGTCTTTGTTATGTTAACATAACAAATTAATATAGGGTATATCTCGAGTCAATCTCTTCTGAGGTATGTTGTTGTTGTTAAGTGTCAACATGTTAGTTCTGACTCTTAGCGATCCTGTATAGGGTTTCCAAGGAACAGCTGGTGGGTTTGAACCACCAACCTTGTAGTTACCAGTTCAGTGCTGATTCTACAGCACCACACCAGGTTAAATGCAAACTAGCAGAAAACTGAGACTGGATTAGAGAGATGCCAAGCCACACGAAGATACACCAGGGGCAGAAGCTCAGAGACCAAACCTTCCTCCAGAGTCCACAGAGATAACAAGCCCTCCTGAATTCAGACTTTCAGCCTACTAGACTGTGAGATGACAAATTTCTATTTAAGTCATCCACTTATATATAGGATTTCTATTATAATAGTATTAGATTATTAAGACAATCATATTTAACAACATTTTAGCTTGGGTCCAAGAGCTACAGCAAGTGTCCTTTTATAAAATGAACTTAAATCAAATAAGCAGCACACATTTATGGAATAAGATACTATACTACCTCTTGTCTGTTAATTTATTGTACTGTGGTGGCTTGTGTGTTGCTACTGGAAAGTAGGCCACCTATGTTTCAAATACCAACAGGGTCCAACACAGTGGACAGGTTTCAGTATAGCTTCCAAACTAATACAGACTGGGGGTAAAAAACAAAACCCTTTTGACTAGCAGTGGGATATTATCTGATACAGTGCTGGAGGATGAGCCCCATAGGTTGGGAGGCACTCAAAGTCTGACTGGGGAAAACTGCCTCCTCAAAGTAGAGTTGACCTTAAGGATGTGAATGGAGTAAAGCTTTTGGGACCTTCATTTGCTGATGTGGCATGGCTCAAAATAAGAAGCTATAACTGCAAACATCCAATGCCAATGGAATGTACGAAGCATGAAAGCAGGAAAATTGTAAGTTGTCAAAAATGAAATGGCAGTGATGAGCTGCAATGAATGGATGCTGGTCATTTTGAATAGCCTACTATGAAAGGAATGATAAATTATAGAGGAATTGTGTCACATTCATCATCAAAAAGATTCTTTCAAGATCTATCCTGAAACACAACACTGTCAGTGATAATACTGATAAACCTAAAAGGAAGACCAGTTATTATAACTATTATTCAATTGTACATACCAACACTAATACCAAAAATTGAAGAAATGAAAGATTTTTAACAATTTCTACAGTCTGAAATCGATCAATCATACAATCAAGATGCATTAAAAGTATTGGTAAATGGAATGCAAAAATTGGAAACAAGAAGGATCAATAGTTGGAAAACATGGTCTTGGTGATAGAAATGATGTGGGAGATCACATGATGGAATTTTTCAAAACCAACAACTTATTCATTGGAAATACCTTTTGTCAACAACCTAAACAGTGACCATCCATGTGGACCTTGCTGGATGGAGTAGAGAGGAAATCAGATCAACTACATCTGTGGAGAGACAATGAAAAAGTTCAACTTCATCAGTCATAGCAAGGCTAAAGACTAACTGCAAATCAGACCATCAATTGCCCATATGCAAGTTCAAGTTGAAACTGAAGAAAATTAAATCAAGTCCATGAAAGCCAAAGTACGACACTGAATATATCCCACCTAATCAAGAACAGATTTGGCACACTGAACACAAATGACTGAAGACCAGATGAGTTTGTAGGATGATATAAAAAAAAAAAAACCATACAATGAAGGAAGCAAAAATTCATTAAAAAGACAGAAAAGCAAAAAACAAAACACAAAATGGATGTCAAAAGAGACTATGAAAATTACTCTTAGATGAACAGTAGCTAAAACAAATCAAAGATATGATGAAGTAAAAGAGTTGAATAGAAGATTTCAGAGGGTGACTCAACAAAACAAAGTATTATAATGAAATGTGAAAAGACCTGGAGTTAGAAAACCAAAAGGGAAAACATGACATATTGCATTCGACAAATCTGCAAATAACCTCTTTAAAGTATCACTTTGACCTTTAAGTAACCTCTAGAAAGATGTCACTTTTATGACTCAGATGCACCTGACTCAAATTGAGGTATTTTCAGTTGCCTTGTATGCATGCAAAAGCTGAACAATGAATAAGGAAGACAGAAGAAGAACTGATGCCTTTGAATTACAGTTAGTAAAGAATACTGAATATATACCATGGACTGCAAATCTGTCTTGGAAGAAGCACAGCCAAAGTGCTCCTTAGAAGTGAGGATGGTGAGACCTTGTCTCAGACACTTTGGACAAGTTATCAAGAGGAATCAACCTCTGGAGGACAACATACTTAGTAAAGTAGAGGATCAGTGAAAAGGAGAAAGACCCTCATTGAGATGGACTGACACAAAGACTGCAACAATGGGCTCAGAGACAACAATGACTGTGAGGAAGGTTCTGTTGTAGACAGGGTCACTGTAAGTCGAACTGACTCAACGGCACCTAACAACAACAAGATACTAGAATGTTACATTATAAAATTTCAGCCTTCTAGGCTCTGTCTTCACCATGGACAATGAGCAATTGCTCTATGAAAGGCCATGGCCCAGCTAGTTCATAAATTCAACACAGGGCTTAGAACCAGTTTTTCCTGGCTCAGTAATGGTTGATGCAGCAAAATTGGAACTGACCAATTTGTAAAATGAAGATATACCAGAACAGTAACTAGAATGGGACAAATAATGGAGTTGAAGTCCTAGAATGAGAGACTCAGAAGAGGCATGGAGAATCCTTGCAGGAACCTGATGTGGGAGACTGGATCATTGCCAGAGCTGTGTGTTTGGCCACCATCTTTGAGCTGAGCACTGTTCAGTGTTTCCTACTCAGCCTGTCAAGAGATTTGGTTGCTATGCAACGTTTATGTTGCCCTTGTTTTCTATGAAAGAAATTAAGTTTCGATCAAGGTGTCAACTGCATTTTTTCCCATTCCAATTACCATTAGGGTACACCACATTTTACAAATTTGGGTCTGTTCCAGTTTCACTTTCTTGACCATGACTGAACCAGGAAGAAACTATTCAAAGCCCTGATCCAATACATAAAGAATAGGCTATGAAAGAATTGTAGGCAAAATTCACAGCCTGAAAGCCCAAGAAAATGTGTTTGAGAAAGTATATGGGTCAATAAAAAAAGAGATGCTAAATTGAAAAGTTTTAAAAATAATAAAGTAATATGTGGACAAAACCAAAGTGAGCAAGAAGTCTGACAGCTGTGTCCATTTTGCAATACAGTCCTCTCCATTTGGGGCTTAACAATAGGGTACCATACATGGTGCAAGTCCAGTCAAACCACTCAAGTTGACTGCGACACGATGGCCTAATGTGCTCCAAAGGCATTCCAGAATTTCAGGGTACTGCTGATCATTCAAATCAACTCTTAAGTGCACACATGGAGCCCTAGTATGGCACTGCAGGATAATGCGCTGGACTACAAGGTCGATACAAATCGCAAAGTCAGTGGTTCAAACTTACCAGCCACTCCTTGGAAAACCTAAATTGGGTCCCTGTGAGTTAGTACTGACTCGACGGTACTTAACAACCACAACAACAAAGTACACACTTTAAATTTAAACAGGATGTTAAGTACAATCTTCAGGACATTAAATGCAAGCCCATATATTTTATCTATCAAAACACAGTGTGAAGAATAATCCCTTGCAAAAAAAAAAAAAAAAAAAATCTTAATAGGTGTACCTAAAAAAAGCAATGTAATACCAGTTAGAAATAAGCAGATGATCTTTTAGAATATAGGATTTATATTGCTTCTTATATAAGAATTTAATTTAGAGTGCCAATAAAGCACTATGTTTTCTAAATGTAACAAATGCAAAGTTTAGGAGCAGAATCCTTGTGTGGTGTTTGGTTTGGGAGACAAAAGAAGAAAGGCATATTTCAAACAGATGTTAAGGGAAATACAGCAAAGTTATCCTTACCTGCATTAATTTTCCTTCTGCTGGAGTTATTTCAGCAACACCAGCAAACACACCCTCCAAAGTGAGGTTCAGTTTTCCTGTGGGGTCCATTTTCAAGGGGATCACTCTGATAATAGCTTTCTGCTCTGCAGATCTTTCAGACTCCACCGCTGCTGCCAGTACCAGTCCTGTGCGTCCAAAGCCTGCCTGCAAGGTAGCCATCAGCAGCCAGGGCCAGAGGGCAGCCAGCTGCAGCTGGTGGCCACCACTCATGCTACCAGCTGCAGCAATGCACTTCGGCCATACATACTGCTTCCACTAGCTAATACCAAGCGCAGGTTCCCAGATCCAGACAAACAGAGGGTAAGAGAATTTATGCTCCAGTTTCAGAAGACCATGTAGTAGTTTTGGCCCTTTTTCTAAAGAATATTCCCAAGAACAAGTGTCATTCCTGATGGAGCAAAGAAGAGAGTGTTTTCAGCCCACTTCTGCTGCAGGTATGTCACTTTCTGCCATCATTACCCTTATAAGTAAAGATACCACAATTTCTCTTTGGAATTTCCAACTTTGCTTGAGGTTGAATGTCACATCATGAATTTTTATGTCACATCACTTGGTGTTGGTTTTCCATATGTATCAAGTTGCTGAGCCACAGAACTCAACGTTCATGAACAAAACAAGGCAAAGTAAATGGCTAAGGCCATGCATCCAAGTTGAGAGTGAAGAACTACAACTTTGAAAATGAAGTAGTAGTCCGTATAAGTCACAAAATTTGCTAATGGTAAATGACTAAAGACCTCAAGGAGGATTTTTTTTTTTAATGGGGGGAGGAGAAAACAATAATAAAAGAAAATTGCAGGTCACATACTGAAGAACATTCAAAGATGCATGTATTCAGAAAAGTTTCCACATTAAACTGTATTTCAGTGTAGCCAAAGTACTAGGCCCATTGCATTGACATACTTTCCATCAAATTGGGCATATTTTGTGTTCTATCAAAATTTGCCTATAAATTTAGTAATAAATATATATGTCTTTCACATTTTAGAAGATAATCCTGAGCATCACAACCTTTTCCAACTTTCGTAAGCAGGAGAACACTTGAAAAGGTTAGCCTTCCAATGATTCTTTCCAGTAAAAAGTCTTATATCTATTTCCTTTTTCCTTACTCTCTTCGGGATTCCAGCTTCTATTCTCCTTGAGAATGCCAAGCACTTTGATTTCCCAGGAGGTCTTTTGGAAACACTTTAGTATCCAGATCTCATAATCTGTAATTTTCTAGGTTCATAAGAAAAACAAAGGACTATTCCTAACACGTTTTCAAATTCCTTGAGGGGGTGGGGAATAAAAGGTAATGGGGGGTAGGAAGGTGATTAGTCACAGGCTCTGAGTAGAACACTCTGCAAATGTAAAAATAAGCCTGAGGAGAGTAGTTCTGTACTATTTCTAGGCACATTTGAGAATTTGGGTCTTTGTACAGAGTACTATTTTAAAACATGCACCCTTAAGTAAATATAAATGCACTTCCCCCACAAAACCCTCTTGCTCAGACAGAGGTCAAGCTTAAAAAAAAACCTTACAAAGTCTCCAGACTAAGAGCTGAAAAGCCAAGCAATTGAACATGAACCTGTTATATAGATTCTTTTCTTTTGTTGAGGCAGAGGGGAAATTAAAAAAAAAAAAAAAAAAAACTTTCAAAAGAAATCTGCAAACCTGTTGCGCTGTCGGGCCCACTGGAATCCACGGGGGAGTGAAACAAATTCAGTTATGCTTTTATAGATCCTGCTCAAAAAGGTTTCAACTGCTTAACCAAGTACAGCTCATTCTTCCACCTTCTTACTCTGCAACCAAACCAAGTGCCCCAGACTGCAGGTAGGTGCCGAGAAATTCCGCAGTCTGAAAAAATAATCCATGCAGGTCAAAGGCAGAAATTTACTCCAGAGTGAGAACTAATGTCCCCAAGAACTCTAAAAATACTTATAGAGGCTCCGAAATCATTTTTGAAATCTCCTTTCTAACAAAAGTTCTTTCTCTCCCCGAACAGCATATAAAATGATCAAATCTTGAAAGAGAAAAGAAGCAAAGTAGCAAACACATCAGCAACAATTCACTACCAGGAACACAGAAAATCCCAGAGGGAGAAGACAGTATCTCTGAATCATGGATGGACTTGGAAAGTTCGGAAGGACTCCAGTGCTTCTCCCTAGAGGAGGAAGCCTGTGGTTTGTAATTGGTGTTCTAGCGCTGACTCCCTCCCCTGGGCCTGCAATCACGCTCTCTACCTGCTGACACAAAGTGAGGGTGGAGCAGCTGGAGGCAACAACCCCCCACCGCCCCTCCTCCTCCGGGCGGGCCAGAGCCCAGGCTTGGGTGCGCGCACACACTTATCCAGACTCGTTCATTCGCTCCTTCAGCTCCTCTACGCCCTCTATTGAGCCAAAGACAAATTGCATCCAATTCAATTCTCAAATCTCTTTCAGAGTAAGCAAACCACCACAGTAAGTAGGGGTCACTCAACCAGACATCTAAGCAGATTCTGCACCTAGTAGAGCACAGCGAGTGGTATGAGGAAATAGAGTTAAAATAAAATAAAATAAAAGGAAACCCAGAAGATAAAAGAATGGGACAGAAGGTTTTATAAACTCAAAGTAATTTCTACTCTTGCTGGGTTTTCGTGTCTGTACTACTTAAGTAAGGATTTCTGGTAGTGTAGTGGTTACGAATGGGGCTGCTAACCTCAGAGTCAGCAGTTCGAAACTACCAGCTGTTCCACAGGAGAAAGATAAGGCTTTCTGCTCCCATAAAGATTTACAGCCTTGGAAACCCTGTACAGGGTCGCTAAGAGTCGGAACCGACTCCACGGTACGTAACAACTACTTAAATGCTTGCAGTCTTGTGTCTGCTACCCTGGAAAAGGCTATTTTATGCCTAGCTGTTCTTCAGTTCTTAAGTTAATCTCACTTTTCTAAACTGTGTCTGTGTGGCCTTCACTTCAGACTGGTGTTGTTTTCTTCTCACCACTTTAAATGTGAAATAACATATGGAATAGACCTATGCCCTCAACATCAAGATTGTAAGTAAGCCTATTATCAATCAAGCTGAGCAAAGAGGTAAGATGTACTTAATGAGAAGAGTGTAGGTAAAAAGAAACAGTGTTTGACTTTAATAAGCACATTCATGAACTGTAACCTAATAATCTTATCATTAGAAATAATGTAGAAATTTCTGACATATGTTTCTAAGATTTCAGTTTTCAAATTTGCCCAATCATATTTGGCTGTGGCCAGACATTTTATCTTTTAACTACTGCCAATAATCTTTCAAAATTGTACAAATAAATCCATATGATCATTTGTAAAATGTGGATAATAAGAATGGCAATCTAGGTGTTTGTAAAAGTATTTCATAATACTTCTGAAATGAAAAATTAAGAGTAAACCCATTCACCTTGAACATTTTTCCCTCTAGAAAGTTTAAAGGGATACTTCCATAATTTTAGAAGGAATAAATAATATAGAACAGAGAATAAAATATTAAATTAGCACTTTTTCTCTTAGTTGTATTTTAAGACTATAATTTAAGTATAAGTATAGCCTTTTTTTTTTTTTTAAAGCTCTTTTCCTAAAGGGCAGGAATAGCTCTAATTATCTTAGTTAGAACTTTGAAAAACCTGTATGACTTTATATATGCTATGTAACAGTAGAGCATAAAGAATGCAAAATACATATTATATAGCTCTTTATATATATACATATGTATGTGTATATAAATCCTTATAATTAAACTAAACAAAAAGTAACCTATGAATGGACTTTGCTTTACTTAATCATGCTTGAAATTTGCAAAGGAATTAAGAGGCCCAAATCCAATAATAAGTACAAACACACGGATGAAAGACGGAAGAAAGTCACAGATATGGTTGCCCTCATTTGAAGAAACCCTAAAATTTGAGAATAATGTTGGCATGTATCATGAACCTGGGGAGCTTGAAATACTCAGGATCAAATCAAACAGCAGCTCTGTGTAGTTTCCTGACATACTGTGTTTATTCAGGTCATCAGAAATGACAAGAAAATTTATTCTCCAGCTTCAAAGTTTTAGAGTTAGCCCTCAGAAATTGGTAAACTGAACTACAACACTTCTGCAGAGATGTTAGAAAGCTACAGTAGTAAAACGTCCATTTCACCAACATCCGCAACCTAATCTTACCATCCTTCACATCTGGATTAAGTAAAGTCACTGAAGACTGTTCATCCTTTTCCAAGAAACTGGATTTCTGTAAAACACATCTTGATTTTGTTCTCTCTTTAATGGCATTTTAAAGATTCTCAGTTCAAGTGCCAATTGGAGGAGTGGGGGGAAGCCAGGATTTTAAAAAGTCAGTTCTTTGATTTAAAAAACAGAATACTTTATTATTATGATTAATGGTCATAATGAATGAGTTTTCTATTGGTCACCAATCAACCAGTATAAACAAGTAAGACAACAAGTCTAGTTGGAACATTCACTTTATTGTTGACTGATTGAAATGTATTGGTGCTTAAGGTGCTGAAATACTGAGGTGCTAGACAGGAGCCTTGTTAATCACATGAAGATTTTATGATATCATCTGTCATTTTGCCCAAGTCAATGATGCTAACTTTAGTTGATAGGTACCAGGCACGTGTGGATAGTGGGAGATCCAGCTCCTTGGTTAGTTGTATTCATATATAAAAAAAAGTTTGAAAAGCTAATTAAAGCATTTCATTCTTCAAGCCTTAAAGCCACTAGCTATGTCAAAATCCCTCCTGAAATTTTGTTCCTCAAAAGATATTACCTCTCTCCACATTTACAAAGCCACGAAAGGCATATTTACGGAAAGGAGCATCACCTACATAGTCTATCTATCAGCTTTTAAACATGACAGAAAAAAGACAAGTTCCTTCATTTGAAAATTGGGTCTCTTCATCACATACTCTGCCAAAAGATGCAGTCTGGCTAAAAGATGTAATAGTCTTGATAAAAAAAATTTCCCATCTTTTAAACCTTGTTAATAAAGATGAATTAATACCCATCACATGGACATGAACTAGTCTGATCAGATAGACCAGACAAGTTGCTTTTCAGAACCTATTTCCATATCTACAAGGAGTCACTGTACACCAATACAGAGCTCATCCTTAAAAAAAAAAGGATCTTCACAACACTTCAAGGGGTTGACATCATTGGAAAGGCACAATGTACATTAAGAAATGAATTAAATTACATCCACAGTGGCTAGCATAGCATTTATGTCATTTCATTAAGTGCCTTTTCTTTTTAATTAGTTTTATATTACTAGGATTTCTTTGGTTTCTAAAAATGCTTATTAGAAAAACAGAGGCAAAATTCACTAAGAAAGTCCTAGACAATTTAGAAGACTTTTAGAAAGTTTCTTGTTATCATTGGATGAGCAAGTGAAGGATCAACTACAGTAACTGACATCCA